CCATATCACATGATTAACCGTTTATTAGATAATGATAATCATGATCGTGTAATCGTATTAAAAGATTTTATGATWTCATTTCCATTATTACCCTTTTAATTTTAATATTTYHTGAATYTTTYTAAATTTCAATTTTAGTTTTAAAAATCTTTTATTTTATTTTTTATCACAATATATGGTTATTGGGTTGTTCTCGCATTCTCGTAAATTACAGGGGTTCTCGTTTGAACCCTTCCCTATATATATATATATATATATATATATATATACATGAAATTAATTAAATAAAAACTAATTAGTTTGTCTTAACCGTAAAGTTTAATTTCAACCATAAATCAATAGATAAATTAGTAAATTTAAAATTTTGATAATTTAAATTAAAATTTTAATACAAAAACATTTTAGATATTTTCTCTTCCCTCTCTTCTCTCCGTCCCCCGGACTTCTGTGATACTACTGTGGTTACACAATACATCTTATATGTGTTTGGGTATCATACTAAGGTCGTTTGTGTGGTCGATTGAAGATGTAATACAACGGTATCGCAATGCATCTTATATGTGTTTGAGTATCACATTGTGTCTTTTTATTTAACAGAGTCGATATTTTTATAAACTTAAAAAACATTGTTTCACTTTATGGTTTAAACTATGAATTTTGATTGTCTGATTTCACCTATAAACTTAAAAAAAAATATGGTTTCACTTTTTGATTTCATTTATGAGCTTTGATTATTCGGTTTCACTTATAAACTTTAAACAAAAATCAATGTTTAGTTTCAGCTAAGACCTTTCTGATTTTACCTTTAAAGATAAATCATTTAAATAGAAAAAAACATTTCAAATGTTTATGGGAACTCATATTATCCATTCCATAGGAATTGATCAAGTGTTGGAAACACATAATTTATCTTAATTAAAAAAAATTCTAAATTATTTTAAATATAATTGATTTTTCATTCAAACAAATTATATTAAAAAATGGGTATATAATTCTCTTTAGT